TTGTCAGAATTTTCTGTGGGCTTGCAAAAGGCAACTCCTTTTTGGATTGAGGTTTTGTGAATTGTTTGGGGGTTTTGTTGATCGATGTTTGCTGGGTTCTTTGATTATTTATTTGTTATTAGTATTAATATCTTTAAATTGCTGGGATTTTTCTTTTATGGAGCTCTTGCTTAGTTGTGTTTAGCTTACAGGAATTTTATACTTGGTGTGTACAGTTGAGCCTGTTTTGCGGTTTTTCGGGGGTTTCGATTTTATTGCCCTTTCGTATGTTTGGTTTTCCATTTAATTGGCTTATTCGTAGCTTCTAGATACTGCCACTGACCTAACGATTTTCGTTTTAACTTGGGTGATTGCGTTACTTTCAGTATTAGCTATTATCAGAACTTTGCTGAGTTTGGCCTAGATTTATTGTTCGTTCTTGTTTCCGAATTCGTGATTATATCTGGACCGATCCTAATGGAAGTTCGATCAACTCCTTGCAGGTATAATCCTAATTGCAGCTTTGTGGATATCCGTGTTCTAAATTTGCGGACAAATCATCTCGATTGCTGTCTTGAAAACATTATATATGTTCCGATGGATTTAAAATTAAAAAGTAATTCATGGGCTGGGAACATATTCCACCAGTTTGAGTCCATTTGTCAGGATGTCGACGAATTTATGACCAAGGTATTGTCTTTCCTTTTATACTCGAGGAATAGTGTTCTTGCGCACCAATGTCATTTTAAAAAAGTGTATCAATCCAAAAGATTGGACTGACCTTAATAAAATCTCTGAGGTAAATTTACTCGAATTCAACAGGACACCGTTAGATTTGTCGAGGGCCAGGTGCAAAGTGTCAGTGTAAGTGTAAAAAAGTTTTATTCTAATGTGGTGCAAGATATACTTCCTTCTTCTGCGGACAGCTCAGAACATGAATCACAACCAGCAAATAGTGAACAGGCTGAGATTTGGGATTATGTGAAATCTGACAGCGGCATAAAAACGAACTCCACTATTGTTAGTGAAAAGCGATTATCTGAGAATCAGAGTCCCACTGATCCTACAATGATTTCAACATTGGAGGCTACCGATTCTAGTTCAGACAATGAGATGCTTTCAGGAACATATGGTGAAGATGGTAAGAGTTTAATTCCTATGAGGCACGAAGAAGATTTGTTGATAACTAAAGAAATGGAAAAAATGGCTTTTGGCGATGGGGAAGGAAATAAGGGCTATTCAGAAGATCCGGAGTGTCTTTTAAATACGTCAAGCAGTGATTTGTTATTCGAGAGTGATTTGTTATTTGACGAAAACAAATGTTTATCTGATCCGGAAGTAAAAGAAGGGTTCGTTCGTGATATTTCATTTAAAGATGAGAGCTTTGATGTTTTAAGCTCAGCCCAACCACATGAATGTGAATTTGCTGATATTTCTTATGATGAAACGGGTTCGAATTCTTCTTCTTGTTACACCTCACCAAAATGTTCAGATATATTGGACTCTTCATCTGAGGATTTTTTGGAGAAAGCTGAAAATCTAGACGCGTCTCGTGTCGAGTGTAATGGCTCTGCTTATAGTGTCACGAGCCCGTCTTCCAATAATGCCGATTGTGGAACTAGGGCAGTGGATGAGCTTTCAGATTTCTTAACATTTAATTCCAATGGTTGGCATACTATTCACTTTCTGTCTTCTTCATAAATTCCTTAAATACTGCATTCAGTTTTCTTTTCTCATTTGGGTTTGTTTTAAAGAAAATATCTTTCCTGTATATTTTTTTTTCTATTTTTTTTTTTCCTCGAAGATGCGTTTCTTGGTTTTAACTGCTATTTTAGTCGATAATGCTCTCCTGATAAATGGGTTGGGTTTCTTTGGTGGTTTATCTGAAATTGAGATGCTTTTGTCCATTTGAAACTGGTAATTGCAGCTGGCTGATAGCATTAATGTTGGTGATTGTATTTGTTTGTCATTTTTTCACTGTAGATTGCATGTTAAAATTGCTATGATGATATTTATCCAATAAAGTATCAAATTAGTGGATCTTATTTCTTGATATGATCCAACAAGTCAAATAATTACCAGATATTATATGGTGCTGTTTGTCAACTCTTGATCTTTTTTTCTTTTTTATTTTTTTATTTTTTTATTTTTTATAGATATTTTCTATATAAGCCTTTTGTCACTATTCATGAGTTACTACTGTTTGACTAATGCATTATGTGCAGGAAACATGGATAAATTTGTTGCTGGTATTGGCGATCATAATATGGAAACTATTGATATTTCACCTGGCTTGAAGCATGATGAAGCAAGAGTGATTTCCAGTCGTATATTAAGCCATGCTGGCACACATGGAAGACGAGATTTCAGATATTATAAGGTAGTATCTCTCATTCGATGAAATAAATCCTTGAAACGAAAAGCTACATGAAATAAACTATGCAAATTCGCAAAAGAGGCAAAAACATAAAATAAAATAAAATAACATTTATATCGTAAAATTATTAACACCCCTTTACCTCTTTCTACATGCAATTTTACCCTCAAGATGGGATTATCTCATATCTCTAACCTTAAAAACAACTGGAAATTGTTGTAGCGAAGCTTACCTCGGATACTTTTATTTTAAGTACTAATTATTATAATTTCTAATTAACACCTTTTGTTTTTCAATTCGTTTATTTTTTCTCTAGAACTTAATACACGATGCCCTTACTTCTCGGAAGAGATTGTCAAAGGAATACAAGCATTTGGGCATATTATATGGGGACATTCATTCAGAATCAAGCCAGAGTTTTGAGCCGGTTCATTTAACTTCTTCCACAAATGCATCTGTACATACAGTGAGCACACAAATTTCGGATACTGAGTGGGAGCTTGTCTGAATATAGCAATAATTTTCCCGTGGTAATCGTTTCTCTGAATTTTTTTACCTTTACGCGACAATAGGTGTACTTCCGGTAAATCATGTCTATATACCAAATGAGGCTGAATACGAGTTCAAATTTCCAGTAATAATTTGAATCAATAAACTGGAAAATGCAGACTTGCCAGTTATATGGTCATATTATTATTACCTTCTATATTTTGCTGTTGATTAAATTTCCTTGTGTACATTTTTATCTTGTGTATGGGTATTCTAAGAAAAGAAGGAAGATGAAAACAACAAAAGGTTCGAGCTTTGTCTTTGGCTGTGTTTATTTCTTTTCCGGGTTTTCCTCTTTTTGACTTGTTTCTTCTACGAACGATAATCTTGCAAAAGAAGTGCGTACAAAATCTCGTTCCACGTGTCAGGGACTCCAGGTAAGCACCAGTGAATACAGTCGGCAAAATTATTCGGGTCCGATCTCTGTTCTTTAGTCAAGAGTTTGCCTTTTCTTTCCCCATAGACTGAAGTGTGTCCATCTTTTCTGTATTCAGAAAGCTGAGTAATATTTAGCACTGTTACCTTAGCCTTTAGGTGTCCAAGAATGTCTTTGACTGTTCCCATAATATTGAGACTCGAACCCGTTCCCCAGTAGGATTCCTGTTCAATCGGGTATGTCTCGTTGAAGCATGTTCCACCCATTCCGGGTTTCCATTCCCAACTCCTAACCACAAAATAAAACATACGATCCCGAATTTGGGTTCACATGTAAGTTTTTTATACTTAAGGCAAGAAAGGTACATTTTTCATTTTGGTTAATTGCAAAATGAACATAGTTATGTTTGGAAATTAGGGCATGTTTGTATACAAATATATCTGCTCAAACAAGTTTTTTGGTTAACCAGAGTTAATTTTGAAAAAAGTTGGTATGATTAGTTGTCAGTGAGATTTATATCAAAATAATATTTAAAATAAAATAATTAAATTTAATTTGATGTAAAAGTATGATAGAGATGATGTGAAGTGATGGTTAGCTAAAATTATGTGAGTGGATAAATAGTGAATTAAAGTTGATGTGATATGTAAGAATTGACAATATTGAGGATAGTGTGGTTGAGTTAAAGTTGAGTTAGATTTTTAGAACGAATTGAGTATGAGTTGAAATAATTGATAAACAAACACACCCTTAACTATGTTAATCGTGGTTCATTCGGGAGAGAAGACTCACCATAAGTGTGTTGGGGACATTGTTGCGAAAAAGATCTTTTGAGTTCTTGGATTAATGCTCGACTCGACCCAATTTGCCCATGTTTTCAACGCTAATCTATATGCACTTGTCACGTTATATTCCCGGACATTGTTTAGAGATCCGAACCTAAAAAACCAATCACTATTTTTAGTCTTCACGAATCATTCTTCTTTATTCTTAGGGGGGAGGAAAAAAGAAGAAAAAAAATATTCGAAACGCAATTCTCACGTTGCGTTTATGGTGGGTTTGTGCATCCACCAAATGTAGCTCTCGAAGACCAAAATGTGGGCCCCCTCCCATTCTTGGCTGTGTTTGGTGACCGAGTCGAGCCTCACGAGACGCTTAAAAACGGTGTGGTTTATGGCATTGTCTGATATGGACTCTGTTAGGAAAGGAGCCCAGTAGTACTCAATAGATGCATTGAATTCCTGTTTTTGAATACACAAATGTGGTATGAAAATTGAAAACACATTGAAAAAGCTTGTGATTATGGAAAAGTTTGAATTGATGACACTTTCCATACCTCGACATTGAAAATTTTACTCGGAGGCACCCGTTGTAGAGTGGTTCTTACATCTTTCGGGAGTTGGGATTGTACTAAGCAGACCATTGACTCGAACATGCTTCTTTGTACCGAATCCCCGACAAACATGAGCCTTTTATCCCTCAGCATCTCCATTAGCTTCAAACCATCAAATCTGATCACAATTCACATCATTCATAAGTTCAGCAAATATTTGATTAGATATGTCTTCT